ATACATTTATATTTATATATTCTTTACTATGAAAGCATTTTTTATGTAATCCACTATAATCCACTAGATGGCAGCAGACCCATGTGGAACAGAATGGGTCTCAGAAGCTATGAAGTTCAGAAAGGGGGACTGTTTTGGTTTTGAGGAAATAGCAATGCACCTTTCTTGAATGTATAGGAAATAGTGTTCTCTTGATTTTATGAAAAATTTAATATATTCTCTAAAGCCACCTCTCTAGAATTAATGGTGCAAATAGTGAATAATGTGAAAATAATTTGTTCACTACTGCTGCAGAGGTGCATCTTGATTTAATCCTCCCTCCATGTATTAGCTACATTTTTCTTTAGGAAACTGTTTATGGTTATGTAAATAATTTGTTCCTTAATTTTCATATTTCAAGAGTTTTCTTTAAAGTTGGACATATGCCAGTTAAAATTGAACATGAGCATCCTGTAAATTCACAGCACTCCAGGCTGGATAATGGAATGAAGCCCATTAGACCTGATAGGGGAGAAACTAGGAGTGAGTGATTATCGGTTTTTCCTTGTCACCATCCTGTTTGTCGTCTACAGCTGGAAACAAGGGTGCAGTGTGTATTAGTACTTCTCCCCCTTATCGGTTTTTCCTTGTCACCATCCTGTTTGTTGTCTACAGCTGGAAACAAGGGTGCAGTGTGTATTAGTACTTCTCCCCCTGAGCAGTGATTCCATGTTTCTGTGCCTTCCATCAAGCCTTGGCCATTCGGAGTGAGCCAGCCTTTCAAACCAGGGCCCCAGTCGTCCGGCTCACATGCTGTGATGCTGACTTTTATGGTTCAAGATGGCAGTGTTAGCTAGTTCCCTCCAGCTACTCTCCTGAGATTTAGTTACTTCTCCCTCTCACATTGGTTCTAGTTGGCATTCCCTTGCCACCCATTAGTGATGACCTGTCGACAGTGTACTATCCCGGCGCCAAATGGGCAGACGCAGTCTCAGCTTCTACTCAGGTGAAGACAGTGACATTTCTGACTCAGATACTGTCTCTAAGTCACCTCCAGAGATGGAAGAAAATTTGCCCCTGGGTAATTTGGCATACATGTGAAATATTCGTCTTTCTTCACTCTCAGCCCTTAGTTTCCAAATCTAAGTTTTCTTTCTGGCTGTGGGTGAAATAGCATCCTGGTTGTCCTTTGAGGGCACAAATAAGCTGTAGAACAGCTTCCCAAGACACTGTCGCCCAGGCAGCGCCATCAGAGTCTGCATTGGGCCACCAAGCACTCTAGAAGCCCGGCGGTTCTGGATAATGGAGTACGGGCAGGGCAGTGGATCCCATTGTCCCTGGAAGAGTGTTTGTTTTCTTCTCTGTAGTGTGAATGTCTTGCTCAGAAGCACTGGTGTGTGGAATACCATGAGTGTGACTCATGGATTGGGAAGCTGGGAGAATCTTGGGGTGACCTACAGTGCTAGCATTTCAGTGACTAATATTCTGCCTCCACCAGCGTGGAAGGAGTATAATCATCTTGCCGCTGGGTGGCTGGCTGATACCTCCAAGAACGGTGTCATGTTGCATATTTACTTCTGGCTGCTGTTGCTGCAGAGCAGTAGATGGCATTGCCAGCAATCGTGTGAGTGTGAGAAAGGGCAAGTCCGTGTTGGTGAGCCTTTATGTGGCTTTTTTGCCTCCCTTGCTGGTTGATTATCCCATTGAACAAGTGCTATAGGGATGGGGTGAGAGACTGGCTCTGATATGCACAGAACAAAATGTAGTAAGAGATATACCAATAAGGTCATGTAATACCTGATGCGTAATGGGCACCTCAGACCTGGTATACATTGTTTACTTTTAACCCAGGGCTCAGTAACAAGATCAAAACTATTCTTCAAAAGGATGACATAGGTTTGCCAAAGAAAGCATGACTTAGCCTCAAGATTCTAAGGGACTCCTATTGTTTTTTTTCTATTGGGGCTTGGGACTGGTTTCATATAGCATGCTGATAACACACAGGCTGTTAAGTTACCGTGGGATCACCCGGGTCATTAAAGCCAACTCGTAGAGCTGCTTGTACCACCACTTGCTGCCTAACCTCTTCTTTTGGGGAGTTGAAGCCAGAGCAGGCAACCTTTGGGGCATTAGATAAAATGGGTGGGAACAGCATAATTCTCACCAAGCACTGTTTCCTATTTGTTTTGCGACTCTAAAGAAAAGCCATGTGTCATTAACTTGCAGGAGTAACAACCCATACAGATTAAGGGGCAAGATTCTTTACTGAGGGCCCTATATTTGCGTGGAACTTATCTTCTACCTGCTGGCATGCTTATATCCTTCCAAGACCCTTGAGTACATGCTGCTGCTTGCTTTTCAGATCCTAAAAGATATAAGCAAGATGTTGGACCAGTGTAGTGTCCTAAAGGAGATGATCAATATCCTTGAAAACTGGCTTGAACTACAGAGATACGAGCATATGTAACCAAGATAAGACGATTAAGCTCACTGCTCTTCTCTCTGATTGAAAGCAAAGTCCTTCTCAAGTTTCCTATTTGTTTTTAGGATAGAACAAAGCGTACTTATCATATCAGCAGATTTATACAAGGTGCCAGAGTTTGTGATGATCTGTTCTAGTAAATATCACATTTTGAAGAGCATTTCAGTTGGTGGCACTGTCTGGATAGGCTTCTGCCAGCCGTCATGACTGCTTGCCACTGCGTCCCCCAGACAGGCCAGCTAAATGGACGGGGGAGGTTTCACCAGTCTCGTTTTGTTAGCTTGTTGGTGACATTTCTGAACAACGTGACAGGAACAGGAGTTGCTCTTGGTTTAGCGTTTTGTTAGAGCCCCGGGGGTTTCCAATTATCTCTTCCTTTCCCTAAAACCCTTAGGCAGGAAGGATGAAAACTGGGGCTGCTGAGTATATCTGTTTAAAAACAAACTAGGGGAATAACCACTTGGTGGGTTTAGTCTCCCACTGGACCAATCCGAAGTAGTTGAACTCATTCTTTTTTTTTTTCTTGGTGGGTGATAGCTTTTTTTTTCTTCCTTTTTTCTTTTTCAATTACAATTTACATTCAATATTATTCTATATTAGTTTCAGCATAGTAGATAATCATCTACTTTCTTTTAAAAAAGAATTATTTTTATCCTCACCTAAGGATATGGTTATTGATTTGAGAGAGAGAGAGAAACATCGATTGGTTGCCTCCTGAGTATGTGCCCTGACCAGGAATCGAACTTGAAACCTTTTGGTGTATGTGGCAACACTCCACACAACCGAGTCACCAGGACTTGATGTGACTTTTTGAAAAGACAAGAACCCTCTAGAGATGAGGTAAATGCCTGCCTTCATCCTATAGAGGTCTACACTTCAGTTAATCTAATCAATATACTTAAAAAATAAACTAAAAGCTTTAAACTCCTATAAGGTAATCCAAGAAAATCTGTTGAGGTCAAAAAGAAAATAAATAACTGATTGCAAACAGCCATAAGTTAAACAAGCAAACAAGAATTCTCCACCCTGCAGAAGAAAATCTGCCGCCAAAATAAAAGCAGAAGAGATAGCTGAGTGGTTAACAATTGCTATATGCTCTATGATTCGGCTCCAGTATTTATACTTTTCAGTTCTGACCTGAAAGCAGTGTTCATTACATCATCTTCAGTGAACAGTAGTTATCCTGTGTTTTGGAATACAATCATTCCCTTGATCCTATAAATAAATAATGACTATTTAAAAGCATTTAAGCTATAAGTAAACCACTTATTTTAAGTGAAAAGAATGGGTGGGTTGGATTATTTTTCTCTAGTTCTGGGAAATGTGAAAGTTCTTTGCCTTGAGATGGATTTACAGTTACTTTCTGCTTGATATTTTATGTGCACACACGGGTAAAACGATGGAACCCTTTCTTACTGCAGGAGCCTTTTTTAAAAAAATTGCCTTGGTTATAAACTGGTTTGTGAGCTTAGCATGAATTTTAAACCCCTAATTTTTAATTTTAAGTATTTTAAACCTACAGAAAAGTAAAAGTACAGTGAACTTTTTATATGCCCTTCACCTGGGTTCATCAATTGTTGACATTTTTCAACATTTGTTTATTATCTCTTACCCAAATTCTAATTTCAAATTCAGATTCTTCAATTGTCCCCACTGTTTTTTATAGCAGTTTTTTTTTCTGATTTAGAATCTAGTAAAAAAAAATCATATACCTTTTTGTGCTTCATTATTTTGAGCTTTTCCTTTCCTCGTGTAGAAAGGTCCCTGCTGTCCACTTTTTCCTTTTGTGACATTGACAATTAAAAAATCCGCGCCAGCTGTTTTGTAGATTATCCTGCAATCTAGACGGGTCTGAGTTCTTTCTCATGACTAGATGTTGGTTAAATATTTTGGCAAGAAAAATACACAGGTCCTGTTGTAACTTAGCTTTTGCATCGTCAGGATGCTCTTAGTGCAGTTTGGACCGTCGCTGGTGCTCACATTGATTACTTGTCTTAAGCTGCAAATGCACCTATGATGAAGTTAGCGCTTTTACACTTAATGCCATCTCTGTGGTGATCATTTGAGGTCCTGTGAATATCCTGTGCTTTTAGCATCCTTTGGTGATCCCTGCTTGCATCACTTATTACAGAAATCACTGAAGAATGATGTTTTCAAATTCTGTTATTCCTCCCTCATTTATTAACCATAACCTATTTACTGTATATTCCAATGAATTGTGCAATTGTTACAATTATTTTCCCTCACAATTTTTAAGTGACAGTCCATGTGCCATTGCACTAAATGTTCTGATGGGAGAGAGAAGACTATAATACTGTTGTATCATAAGTGAAGTTTCCTGTTAATGCCCATACACAATTTCCCCTTGAAAATTAACTCAGTATCAATAATTAGATTCAAATAAGCTATTCATTTCTCTTTTTAACTGTTTTCTGTATTTTTGTTTTTCTAACTTTTCAATTGCTTATAATAGTTTTTAACTTATGTTCTGTTGCCCTAACATCTGTAACAAGTATATGTTTATTTTCCATCACAATAGCTGTGGAAATACAGAGGAGTCTGAATCAACTCGGAACACCTCAAGATTCACCTGAATTGAGGCAACAGCTGTAAGTAATTAAACAACAAGAATGAAAAAGAAAAAAGGAAGAATGGGAAAAATAACTATTTTTATATTCCTTTGATAGTGTGTACTATTATGTTTACTGGAGAAAACAATGGAAAATTAATGAAGTATTTCTGTGCTCTTATCTATACCAAGGTTTTGTGCAAGTTTTCCCCTGTCCAGAGTAGGCAGATGTTTGTTTGTTTATCTATTTGTTTGTTTGGCTTACTCTATCAAAGCAGAACGTCTTTGGTTAATTTTCTTATACTTTTTTAATAGGTTGTTTTTTATGGCTTTTGAAAAATGGTAATCTAAGCTTCTCTGTGTGATTTACTTCCTATAGCTAACAATCCCTACAGTGCTACAGTAACCAGGTTTTTATTTGGTTTAGATGTAATATGAATCCAATATGAGTTATTCTCCAAAACTCATACCTACATACTTGAATTTCAGAAAGCATTAATCTGTTTTTTTTTTAAGAAACAATTATAATATAGTATATAGAACATATTTCAGTAACTGTGCTGTTAGAAGAACCGCAGTTATACTCTGTGGTGTGACAGGTTTTACAGAGTGTTTTTACACATTTTCTCATCTGAACCTAATAAAATTGGAGTGAGATAAATCAAAAGAATGATTTTCATTTTACTTGTAAGGAAAACATGTCTATAGAGGGTTTGATGATTTGCCCAACATCATTCTGAACCTGAGTTTTAAATTTTAGCTCAGTGCTGTTACAGCTACAAATTTCAAGTAATATATATGTAATAAGTGATATGCCAAACAATATTAGCGCTGGAAGGAAAAAGTGAAGAGGAAGAAATTAAAAGATAGGTAATAATCATATTTTTAGGAAGTACAATTTGAAGAATTTGTGGTTATCTAATTTATATTGTACTTTTCCATTGGGTATATATCTCAGGGTGGTATAAATGCCCAAAGCTAAATAATAAACCATCATTTTATGAAAGTAAAGTAAATGAAATAGAAACATATAATTTTTAATAGTTACAATATTTTGCTAAGATTAATAGCAGAGATTCTGAATCTGTAGTCATCATTAAAGTTTTTTAAAATATTAATTATATTACTTTTTCTAAAGATTTTAAAAGGCATATTAAATATTAGGTACTTAGGCCCTGGCTGGTTTGGCTCAGCAGTTAGAGCGTCGGCCTGTGGACCATTGAGTTGCGGGTTCAATTCCTGTCAAGGGCACGGACCTCCGTTGTGGTTCATCCCCGGCCCTGGTGGGGGTCGTGTGGAAGGCAGCCACTCGATGTGTTCCTTTCATGTTAAAGTTTCTCTCTCTCTCTCTCTCTCTCTCTCTCTCTTCCTCTCTCTCCCTCTCTCTCCCTCCCACTCTATCTGAACAAAAGTGGAAAAATGTCCTCTGGTGAGGATAAAAAAATAAATAAATAAGGTACTCAGGAAATAGATATAAGTAGGTTATAAGTCTTTCTTATCAGTCAAATGCAGATATCTGTATTTAAACATACTCTTCTGTAGTATCTCATTATTTTAAAGGATCCTGAGTGTGAGTACTATATATTTAAAGTGAGAGATACTACATATGAGAGGTACCGATGTTGTAATTCATAAAGCATCATATGAATACACACTTTTTTTTCTTTGCTCCTTTGCTACACCACTCAATACAAGCTATTTTTAGTGTCAAGTTCTTTAATTAGAAATCTTTTTACTTTATAAGCTAGCTAGCAAGATAGACGTAGATACTGATATCTTTACTCCTGTTATTGTGTCCTGTTTTTTTGTTGTTTTTTTCCTGCAACGAACTTAAATGCTATTAAATTTGTACTATTATTTATCACCTCTTTCTCTTTTCTCTTTTTAAGTATCTGTGGGATGTAAACGCCCAGGTAGAGAAATATATGAGGCCAGATGTACCTTGAGACCTGAGAGCGGGGCAGTTTAAGGCAGCAGATCCTCTTTACTTATCGAACCTCCCAGTGTGGGATGCAGATAAAAGGCTCCCACACCCCCCGTGTCTCAAACATCAGACATCGCACGTCTCGAGTTGGCTTGAGTCATCTTCCTTTCTGCATGGCTGTTGATATTTATTTCTCAGAGTTTGGTTCCCCTGCTGCATGAGCAGAGAACTTCCCATGTAGTGTTTGCTCACTATTTATCAAAGAATAGAACTTGAAATGAGAAATGTGGAGCCAGTCTATAAAAAAGTAGTTTGAAAAACATCCTCACCGAGGATATTTTTCTGTTGATTTTCAGGTAGAGTGGAAAGGGGGAGGGGGGGAAACATCGACTCCAACCAGGGCCAGGGATCGAACCGCAACCGAGGTGCGTGCCCTTGACCAGAATAGAACCCACGACTCTTTGGTCCAAGGGCTGCTGCTCTAAATGCTGAGCCAAGCTGACCAGGGCAAAAAAGTGATTTTTATAAAACTATTCATCGGAGTTGATTCAAGTGGCAGAGTTTTAGCTTAACAAAATATATTTGTTCTTTCTTCATAATGTGTGTTTCTCACTGTAGGCAACAGAAGCAGCAATATACTAACCAACTTGCCAAAGAAACAGATAAGTACATTAAAGAGTTTGGATCTCTGCCCACCACCCCCAGTGAACAGGTATTAAGCTTTAAAACACATGGTTGAAGTATTGAACGTGAAAGGAATCCGGGATCTTTGAACTGTTATGCTGGAAAGGAAATTCGGGTGGGAAAGAGGGGATTCTATTTGAGATTAGTTCACAGAACACAACTATATTTAATTGCCCAGGTAATATCCTGTGGTTCAATAAAGCAAAAATTATTTCCATGCAGTTGCCCCGACCCATAATTAAGTAAGTGCTCAGAAATGCCTCCTGAGTAATTGTTTCCTGGCCTTCCAGGACTGACCCCCCCGAACACGCACACTCGCTCAGGATGGGAGGCTTCCTAGGGTAACATATTTATTTCCTTGCTTATTAGTGGACAGTATTACGTAGGCAAGAGTATATAGTCTAATTTTCCTGTTAAAAAAAAAATGAAGGAGAAGAACTGCTTTAAAATAACCTAAATATCATGGCCCAGATGTTAGGGTGAAAATTTAGGTAAGAAATTCAGCATTGTGGACTTTTTGCCTCAAAGTTAATGTAGTCAGTGTTTGAACATGCTGTCGAAATGGTATTGAGAGTCATTTAGTAAGGCCCTGTAATTGCAGAGTGAGCGAGAATTTCAGAATTAACTAAAGAGCCAGCCGGTGGTGAAACAACTTTTGCAAAGTCTGTGGGACTTCACAGCTTGATTCTAGCAGGTTTTTATCCCCCTTTCTCCAGCGTCAAAGGAAATTACAGAAGGATCGCTTAGTGGCCGAGTTTACCACTTCACTGACAAACTTTCAGAAGGTCCAGAGGCAAGCTGCCGAGAAAGAGAAAGACTTCGTTGCCCGAGTGAGGGCCAGTTCCAGAGTGTCTGTAAGTGTTTAAAACGGCATTACAAAAATGGACTTAAGACTCTGCAGGGATCCCTTAAAAGACAACATTGGTATTTTTTTTTTTTTTTTTAAGTCAAAGCTTAGAAATCAGTATTTGAGTACTTTTGAAGTGCTTTGCACAGTTTTTAAGAAGGGTGGTAGTTATGTATTACTGTGGTTATTTTGTCCATACCATGGAACAAACGATTACAGATTATATTAAAAATACAGAAATATTGCCCTGGCTGGTTTGGCTCAGCAGTTAGAGCGTCAGCCTGCGGACCAGAGAGTCCTGGGTTCAATTTCTGCTAATGGCACGTACCTCGGTTGCAGTTTGTCCCCGGCCCCAGTTAGGGTCATGTGGGTGGCAGCCAGTCGGTGTGTCTCACATCGATGTTTCTGTCTCTTTCTTCCTCCCTCTCTCCCTCCTGCTCTATCTCAAGATAAATGCAAAAATGTCCGTGGGTGAGGATAAAAAAAATTTTTTTTTTTAAATACAGAAATATTTTGTTAGAAAAGACTAGGGGTCAAATCCTTAATAATATTTCTGCATTTACTTGAACTTGAAGCTGTCACTGGGTGTTCATGCTAGTGTAGAGAGGACTTCACTCCTGGTTTGTGTGAAGGTGGAAACGAACAGAGTGAATATATTATACAAATACTGAAGAATATTCACCGCGAGAAAATAAATGAAGAGATCATTTAGAGTAGAATTTTGACTTAGTCTAATTTAAAATTCCCTTAGAAACTAGCACAAGCTGTTTTCTTGTTCTTTAATGTAGAATTGGTTTCCAAGACAATGTTACATTTTAATTACATAATATTTATTATATGACTTTTGGGAATATTTAATGAATGCCATCCTTGTCATCTGAAGATACAATTTTATTAGTCGTAGAAAGAGTTGGGAACAAAAATTTTTTTTCTTTACCCTTATATTCACATGCGCATGTGAAACAGTCTAGATTGTTATAAGGGAAAATGTCAGTTGTGTTTTTTTCTTTGCCCCTTCTCAATCCACTCTGTTACTAAATTATTCAGGGCGGTTTTCCTGAGGAGAGCTCAAAGGAAAGGAATCTTGTATCGTGGGAAAGGTAAGAAGTATAAAACATTATACAGAATCAAAAGATACTTATTTTAATACATTTTATCCATTATGGTCCCTAGAACAGAATGAAAAGCTTTCAGTATATTATGTCATGACTCTCCTAAATTACTTATAAGTAGAAAACAAGTAATAAATTTGAAAAAGTTTCTGTATTTGTACAATATATAAATATATAAAAATATCCCAATATAGAAATAGTACTTTATAATTATTTGTCCAAATAAATATTACTTAATTATTATTTCATAAGATTATTCTCTTGGGTGAGGATTAAGTCAACTGACAAAAAATATCCAGTTGCCAGATACAGCTTCTAATAATTAAATCATAATTCTCAAAAAAATAGTGTCAGTGAAATGGAATAAGAGTAAAATTTGATTATTTCTGCTCTAAGAATTTGAGCAAGTCTGTGACTTTGAAAAAATATTCTATTTAGTATTTTTAAATAGGAAGGAAATCCCCTTGTTTTAGTACAGTCTTTCCTTTTTCCTTATTCTTTTCTTTTTATTAGCCAGACTCAACCTCAAGCACAGGTGCAGGATGACGAGATCACAGAGGACGACCTGCGCCTCATCCATGAGCGAGAGTCTTCAATTAGGCAACTGGAAGTAAGCCTTACATCGTGGAGATAGCCTGCGGCCCTGTTCTCAGCGAGCTTGTGCTCACGAAGCTTAGCAACGCCGGGAGACGGGTCGAGAGAGGACGCTAAAGGAATAGATAAATTTGGTGGCATTTCTCATATAAATTAGAGTAATGCCTTTTAAAAAAAAATCTCTTTAGAATTTGTGCTGGGATAAGAGAATATACTCTCTTCCACTCTAGCTTTTCTTTTTTTAAATTCTGTTAGCTGAGGTCACCTTATATTGAAAGAATTATCAGTCTAGAGAGAAATGTCTGTTCAGCAAGACTGGATGGCTTCCGTGGCACATGGTACACAAATCCCCTGCGTGTATGATAACTTTTACAAGGGCTTCAAAAGTATTTTATTTCTCTTTAGTATGTTTATGACATCAGAAAGATTTAAAACCTTAGTTCTTACAGCACCTACCTGTTAGGAGGTGGGCTACTAATAGCTAACCGTAGGTGCAGTTGATTGAGGGCTTCCATGTGCCGAGTGCTATGTGATAGGCTCTGTGTGTCCGTGTCTCGTTTAGTTCTCATAAATCTTTGTGACGTGGTTAGCTGTCACATTATCATCGCCATATTACAGATGGGGAAACTGAGGCACGGGGTGACTGAAAATTGCCCCACCCCTCCTGAACAAACTTTACTCTTTTATCAGGCAAAATAGTAGTTATTATGTATTGAAGAAAAGTAAATTTAGAACTTTTTTATCCATCACTATGTCATGAATTTGCAATTCAAAGTTTGTAATGTGTGACTTTAAATTGACATCTAATGTTTTATTCTTTTAAGTTGTCAAATTAATGTATACATTTTTACCAGAAATATATCATAACAAGAATATTGTGTACCCTTGTGAGGAAATAGCAAAACTAATGCTTGTGTTAACAAAACAAATCAGATTATATAACATAAACTCAGTAACCACAGCCCTTTTCTAACCTAGATCCTTCATTTCCATCCTGCCTTTCTTGATACTTTTAATGTCACAAACTTGTTCTAGAGAACTGGTTACTGTTATTCAAGCTCTACTTACTTGGGATTGCTTATAGTAAAATAGTTTTCTGATGTTTCCAAAATTTATGTATTAAATCTCTATGTATGGCGGTTTGGGTTTTTTTTTATGTTCCCCTTCTGTGGATTGGGGACTGGATTGCTGATTTGAATAATATGTGCCTTTTTCTCTTAGGCTGATATTATGGATATTAATGAAATATTTAAAGATTTGGGAATGATGATTCATGAGCAAGGAGATGTGATAGGTAAGCCCTGCTGATTACATTCCGTGAGGTGTGAGCGAACTCCCTGCAGTTCACCTGTGATTACTTCTCAGACAAGAGGGACTGCTCCTCCCTCTCTGTCTTTTTGTTCCTCTGGAATCAAAAACATAGTCTACAGCCGACAGAGATCACCCTTGGCATTATCTAAAACAGATCTCATTTTTGGCTCCTAATGATTGAAATGACCAGCCTCATCTATTTCAGAGGACTCAAATTCAATCAGGTCCTACTGCCGAGATTATGGAAGGCACCATGTAACATCATTTTAGCTCATTCCCAGGACCTCTGGTTTTACTCTCACCCCGATTTAATTCTCATCACAATAAGGACTTTGGGGGAAATTTGTGCTATTTATAATTGTGCGTGTGCTCTCTTGATTTTTAGATTAGAGGGAATAGGTAGCTATTTGCCTGATCATTCATTCTAATAGCTTTTTGGTAGATTAATTTAGTAGTATTACTTAGATGCTCAAAATTCTTTTAAAAAATAAATCAGTGACTAAGACTCCCTTAAAGTTTTAAATGAAACAGTGATTCATTTAAGGTGTAGTTGTCAGCACTGACCAGGGTCCTGATCCTTTTGTCTATTTTGAAATATAAATATGAAGATATTTTGTCATTTTGAAGTATGAAGAGGAATATATATCTAAAGATACATTAAATATATTTTCTGAATTTGGTTCAGTTAACGTACTTGAACCTATAGTTCGATATAAGTATTATTTGTCCATTCTTAGCCTTTTCTCTCACCCCAGTAGATCACAAGGTAAAATTTCAAAAGTCATTTGTGTAGCAAACACATATTTATTGAGTACCTGCTGTATACAGGAACAAATACAGGTACTGGGGTTCAGGCAGAAGCACACCTGACATCTCTGGTGAGTGACAAGAGCATGAGGAAGATGGAGGTGACGGCAGGAGTCACGGGGATGCCGTCATGTGGGACCCTGGACCACTGTAAGGGCTTCTGATGGTATTGATAGAAGGAAAGCCATAGAAGATTTGAGCAGAGGAGTGCTATAGTATGACTTAGGTTTTAAGACTCACCCTGGCTTCTAGGTTGAGAACAGGCTGTGTAGGGGTAAGACCCAAAGCAGAGACCACTGGAAAGGCTATTACAGGAATCCAGGTGAGCAGTTACATCGCCTTGGGTCGGATGGAAGCAAAGAAGTCGTGAGAAGGGCAGGGATTCTGGATATGTGTTTAAATGTAGTTCCAAAAAGTTTGACTGACTAGCCGGATATATGGCTATGAGAGTTAATTCAAGGATAACAGGTTCTGGCCTGGCCCACAAAGGTGATGGTGTTTCCATTTGCTGAGATGAGGAAATCTTTAACTGGAGCAGGTCTGACTAGATATAAATCAGTAATTTTTGGATATGTTAAGGTTGGGGTGCCAGTTGACACCCCGCTGGAGGTTTGAGAGGCATTGAACATGGAGTTCAGAGGAACAGTCTGGGGTGGGCGTGTAAACCTGGGAGTCGTCTGCACAAGCTGGTGGCTAAAGCCATGGGATTCGGTGAGGTCGTCCCGGGCAGTGCAGATAGAGAGGAGGGTGTGCAGACAGCCCTGGGTGCTGTAAACATTGAGAGCGTGGTCTCTCCGGCAGCTCTCGTGCAGAGGCAGAACTGAGCACGACAGAAGTGAACCACAGAGCTGAAAGTATTTGCTCTCTGCCCCTGACAGAGTGGAGCTGACCCCTGACGTAGAACCCAGAGCTGAGGCGGAAGCAGCAACAGGACTAAGAAGGCTTAGCCAGTGATTCGAGGGAAACCGAGTGCATGTCGTGGTTTGGAAGGTGGAAAGGGCCTCAACAGTTAAGGCTTATCAGCTGTTTCAGATGCTGCTGTGTTAGGTTAAGGAAACAGGATATAGAGTCGACTGCTGAATTGAAGTGTGTGGGGCGCAGGGGACTCGGATGAGAGCTGTGTTGGTGGAAACGTGGTAAGGGAGGCTCCGGACAGTGGGAGGAGAACATCTGGAGTCAGCAGGTGTAGACCCTGTTTGAAGGGTAGGCTGGAAAGGGGAGCAAAGGTCGTCGCAGTGAGCGGATGTAGGGTATCGAGGTGTTTTGGTTTGCGTGTTTAGAAGATGGCAGCTGCAGGATTGATGGGAATGATTCATAAGGGAAAGAAATATTGTGGCTGAGTGAGGAAGAGGAAAGTTGCTGGGCTGAGGTCTTTGAGCTGGCTGACAAGGAGTGGGATAAGGTGCAGGAGCGGAGAGCATGGGCAGAGCCTCGCTGCACAGGAGGAGCCGGAGCACAGGCGTGCGGCCTCTAGTCGGCTGACAAGGAGTGGGATAAGGTGCAGGAGTGGAGAGCATGGGCAGAGCCTCACTGCGCAGGAGGAGCCGGAGTACAGGCGTGCAGCTTCTAGTCGGCTGACAAGGAGTGGGATAAGGTGCAGGAGCGGAGAGCATGGGCAGAGCCTCACTGCACAGGAGGAGCAGGAGCACAGGCGTGCGGCCTCTAGTCGGCTGACAAGGAGTGGGATAAGGTGCAGGAGAGGAAAGCATGGGCAGAGCCTCGCTGCACAGGAGCCGGAGCACAGGCGTGCGGCCTCCAGTCAGCTGACAAGGAGTGGGATAAGGTGCAGGAGCGGAGAGCATGGGCAGAGCCTCGCTGCACAGGAGCCGGAGCACAGGCGTGCGGCCTCCAGTCAGCTGACAAGGAGTGGGATAAGGTGCAGGAGCGGAGAGCATGGGCAGAGCCTCCCTGCACAGGGGGAGCCGGAGCACAGGTGTGCGGCCTCCAGTCAGCTGACAAGGAGTGGGATAAGGTGCAGGAGCGGAGAGCATGGGCAGAGCCTCGCTGCACAGGAGGAGCCGGAGCACAGGCGTGCGGCCTCTAGTCGGCTGACAAGGAGTGGGATAAGGTGCAGGAGCGGAGAGCATGGGCAGAGCCTCGCTGCACAGGAGGAGCCGGAGCACAGGCGTGCGGCCTCTAGTCGGCTGACAAGGAGTGGGATAAGGTGCAGGAGCGGAGAGCATGTGCAGAGCCTCGCTGCACAGGGGGAGCTGGAGCACAGGCGTGCGGCCTCCAGTCAGCTGACAAGGAGTGGGATAAGGTGCAGGAGCGGAGAGCATGTGCAGAGCCTCGCTGCACAGGGGGAGCTGGAGCACAGGTGTGCGGCCTCCAGTCAGCTGACAAGGAGTGGGATAAGGTGCAGGAGCGGAGAGCATGTGCAGAGCCTCGCTGCACAGGGGGAGCTGGAGCACAGGCGTGCGGCCTCTAGTCGGCTGACAAGGAGTGGGATAAGGTGCAGGAGCGGAGAGCATGTGCAGAGCCTCGCTGCACAGGGGGAGCTGGAGCACAGGCGTGCGGCCTCCAGTCAGCTGACAAGGAGTGGGATAAGGTGCAGGAGCGGAGAGCATGGGCAGAGCCTCACTGCGCAGGAGGAGCCGGAGCACAGGCATGCAGCCTCTAGTTGGCGAGGAGGGCCGGAGGAGAATATGGGACTGTCGTCTGATTGTTCCTGGTACCTCAGTGACCTGGCATCAAGGGCACTGGCTGAGAACAATGTGCACAGGGAGGCGTGAGAATTTGAGGAGAAAGGAGAAAGTATGCCAGCAAGTACGGCAGGTCTCCTAGGAGTTAGGGACGTGAGGTGGGCTTGCGTGGCAGTCACAGATCAAACATGAAATAAGTCAGCATAGGTTCAGCTGCCTCGGACGGGTAGGGGTTTTGTCATGTCAGGTGACCGATGTGGAGGAGTAAGGGCCGAGGATGAAGGCAAGAAAGCAGGATCAGTGATGGCCCATGGGATCCGGCTCAGTAAGGAGGGAAGATGGGACATGAAGTGTGTGTGGGACCATGAAGGCGGCATGTTAAAAGGAATGAGCTGTGAAGTAGCAGGTGGTGAACAGAGAGGAATTTGAAACAGCTTATGGAGAAGCTGCAGTTATTTGAGGTGACCAAGTTTGGGACATGATCGTGAAAGTGAAAGGGTCTGAGAAAAGGTAACAGGTAAAGTCAAATGTGTGCTCAAGGGACTGAGAGGCCATGCTGTTGGGTCATCAGCTGGGTATCGAAATGGGTGATAGGGATAATAGGAAAAGGAATGAAGAAAACATCAGTGAGTCGGGGACGCAGATATATTCAAGGAATGAGAAGAAAAGACCATGAGATGTATAGATGTCTGCAGCAAGATGGGGTGGTTGAATTTGATAGCATGAGCTTTAAAACAGTTGAGACTGTGTCAGAACAGACAGTGTGAATAGTTCTAAGTCAGACTCTCAAAACTGAGAGTTGAAGCCGCATCTCGGAATTGAGACGGGTCTCATGCTGCAAAGCCACACCTGTTCAGGTGCAGGAGGGTGAGAAGGAGGACTGTCATCTCTTGAGAGGGCTGCGCGGGCCCCCCGGGAGGGCCAGGCTTCACACAGAAGTGGGTTGGTGGTGGCCCCAGAGCAATGACAGCTTTCAGTTCTCTATTTTCACCCTAAAAGCTCGGATAGTAAGTGATCTTCACCTTTGGATAATGAACATGTTTAATCTTCCCTGGAATGGAGTCCAGTGATGTGTGCAGCTCAGTCACTATAGCATCAACACATGTTTAATGGTTGTGCGGGCATGTGTTTTATTTTACAGACAGCATAGAAGCCAACGTTGAAAATGCAGAGGTGCACGTCCAACAAGCAAACCAGCAACTGTCCAGGGCATCTGATTATCAGGTAATGTTAACTGTAATAAATCATCTTATAACTTGGGCTGTGTGTGTGTGTGTGTGTGTGAGATCAGGTTTACAGTGGCTGGAGATGTTGATGTTTAAAATCCCATGGAAGACAGGTCAGAAATGCCAGAGATGTAAAACAGTTTAGCCTGAATATTTTCAGGGTTGAACCAGAGTCGCAGCCACAGGGATGGGAACTTTAATGTTTGAAGTCCTGAAGGGAGCGATGGGGGACTCCGGGCTTTTCCGACAGCCTTGGTGGCACCGTCACATTCCAACCTTGAACCCCCGTGATGGCCATTTCTCACTGTTACCTTCTCCCTTCTCTTCCCTTTGTTGTCGATGACACTGGATTAAAGAGGCAAAGATGTATGTCCTGGAGACATCTCTTCAGGTCCAGAAATTAGAGTGTCCTTGACGATAGGTGTTCTGTCAGCATTCAGCAGACCCTTCACTGGGAATAAACTGTGTGTAAGTCAGGTTACTACAAGGAGGTCGTATGTATGTGTCCTATATAAAGGATGTGTGAAGTGCTATATAAATGTTACGACCATGAACTATCAATCTGTTGTTTAATATGTAGAACTTTGATGTTCGACAAGGATGAGGCCAGGCTATTTGGAAACCACTAAGTCCCACCCTAAGATTTGACTTCCATTTCAAAGCTTTATTTTTGTTGTTGTTGTCAATAATATTATCTCACACCTTGTTACCTTCTTAGAAAATAACTAGGATTTTTACCATCTTAGATATTTTGTCTCACTTTTCACTTTTCTCACTAACTGTAAAAGTTCCTTTAAATGTCAATTCCGTTTTTTGCGGGACAGATACCATACATTCGGTGATACGCAGAGAACAGGGAAGCTGCACAGAGAACACTGAGTTATAGACAATTCACCGATAAAGTACCTTGTATTTACCGTCTATGTGTGTGTGATTCAGATACGTACCTCTGCAGAATTAAAGTCATTATGTCATAGACCGAGAAAACGCAACACAAACCCTGGGAAAAGAGCCGCTTTCCCATAGTCCTACTTGAAGCCTCGATAATAAACTCCTGCCTTTGCAAAGCAGGGTGCATCTAAATAGGTTGGGTGGACCATGAGCGTACAGGAAGGTTATAAATGTTCTTATCACTGCAGCACCCCAAGGCCCGCACTACCCAGCCCTCGGGAGGGTTCCCCAGGTAATAGCTATACTGTAGGGAACACCCATGATTCTTCATAAAGGTGCGTTACACGTCTGGGGTCACCACGTGGGGTCTGGGGCAAATATGTAAGCAGGATATTGAAACTTGTAAAGTTTAGAGGAATTGTGTTTTATATATAAGGAGTCTTTAATTGAAGCATTAGATGCGTATGTGGAATACTGAAATAATCATGGTTTTTGGGGTAACTTCAGAGTCAGAAACATAATCTTTTAAAAATGTAGTCATACTTCTGGTTGACACAAAGTAAATTTATAAACTTTTCTACTCTGCAAGAAGAAGGATCCCTGCATGCTGCTGTGAGACCCACAGGCCATAAGGAAATGTAGAGATCAGCAGCTGGGCTGGGAACGAAGACGGGACAGATCCCTAACCTGTGTATTTTGAATGACTGTGTCTTAAATTTTTGCCTCTGTTTTTTATTTGTATGTTGAGATTTTGAATGCAGTTTTCATTAACATTGAAGAATGAGAATGATTTTGGAAACTAATAAATAAACCTTGGGAAAAATTGCCAGACACTTACTCTTGCTGATATTTTCAGAGAACTCATTTTGAAGAATAGCTTTTTTAAAACAATGTATTTTTCAATTATAGTTGGCATATGATATCATATTAGTTTCAGGTGAACAACATAGTGATTAGCTATATATATACCTTACGAAGTGGTCACCTCAGTAAGTCCAGTACTCATCTGATGCCATACATATTTATGACAGTATTATTGATTATGTATAAGCTTTTTGCTGTTCTTTGTTTTCATGCAGAGGTAACCTCAGTCTTTATTGCTTAATCAGTAACTTATTTTTCTGTCTTCTAACCTTCCCTCCTCCACCCAATTACCAACAAACGTTGAATAATTACCTCTTGAATTGTCCCATTAACTCAAGAAGAATATTTTTGAAAAAATAGTTCCATGTGTATTAAAGAGATTTTTGAGAAAAACAATACAGCCAAGAATTTGGGGGCAACGAATTACTATTGATCTTATTCTAGAATGAACCAGTTGATTTTCAGTTGCTATGGTGATACTTCACTACATTTGTAAACATATGTTTGTTTTTGCATCTGCAGCGCAAATCCAGAAAAACCCTGTGCATCATCATTTCTCTCCTTGTCATCGGAGTTGTAATTATTGGTGTCATTTTGGCAGTGAAAGGCTAGAATTATGAAGGAGCACACTGTTGCACTGTTACCTAAAATGTGTAGGAAGGTTCCTGTAATCATGGTTTTTTATTATTATTATTTCAAAGGTATTGCATAAAGAGTGGTTTCTATACTTCTGTTTTTATTTGGGGGGAAGTTTCCTTTGGAATAAATCTGATATTTTCTAATACTGAAAGTTTTTCTAAATATCACTGCTGGCATAATGCCCATGATTTTCGGTCTAATAAGTCTTAGTGTTTTGCCCACATTGTATGTTTTTCATGTATAATTTATTTATCCTATTGACTTAGATTTTGGAATTAATAAATTTAAAGGTGTGTGTGTGTGTTCTGTGGGCATCTGTCTCTCTGTCACAGTGTAACATGCACCCAGATTTGTGACACTTCAATTAAAAACCTCAAATTTTGATTAGGGCCTACAGAGAAAATATTCTCAATAACTTAAAAAAATAAATGTATCTGTTTGTGTTGCTTTTTTTTTTTCTGGTTTATACCATCAGATTATCTATTTAACTTTTATTGTTTGTCTTCTCTTAAGACCCTTGATTACTCTGAATGGAATCAATGAACAATTCTCTGTAATATTTCTCATACCTGATGTGTATATATTAAGCATTTGCTGTGGGTTGCCTAGTGAAATACTAAGGATCGATTGTACAGAGGCTCTGTTTAAATCTGACATTTACTGGGGAATGTGTATTCACTATAAATGTTTAATGTGATTTGGAGCAAGAGTGTGACACATGGATCCCTATTGTGTTAGAATTCTAAAGGTCCCAACCTGTTATCTGCCGTGCATCTCCACAGCTGTTATAATGGGAATCCATGGCCTTTCCTTACATCCTATAGAATAATGTAACCTAACCTAAGGTCAAAATTGTTGGGGAGGTTACTGTTCCACAATTAGTGTTTCAGCACCTAGCACTTAAAATGTAGTGTTTACCCTGAGTACCATTTTGTAGCATCCTTTATTGGAAAAGGAATTGGATGTTTGCCAATTGACTAACTTGCCTTTTTAAGTCAATGTTGTTTTAATGCACTAATCTGAATACTGTAAAGAGAATTATCTTAGTTTATAGTTTGTATTTTATAATGTTCTTACCTTGCAGTTTGATAGTGAAAGCAGTGTTTCACATGGCAAACTATGAACTTCAAATGGGAACAATAAAATATTAAGTAACTAAATAGTACATGTGCAACCAAAATAAAGAGGATTTGAAAAGTGTCTGCACAGTTCTATTTCCTGAGGACTCTGCCTCCACGAGACTGACACTTGGTACTTAGCTCCCACTTCTGCCACTGTGCTGCCGGACGCCCAGCAGAGGGCTTAGCACCAGCCCTCCTGGGTACCGCGGCACTCGGTTTTCATTGGCAAATTTGAAAGGTTTTATCCCTAGCAGGTAAAAGTTACTTTTCATGACAGTAAAACTCAATTTTTTCCTACAAAATGGACTGTAGAAAACTTTTGTGAGTGAGTGATTAGAAACTTTGAGACTGTCTGTTTACCAGAATCAGCTTGCTTTCGTGAACCTGGGTAATGTAGGGAAAATTCACACTTTCTACCTGGGCTCAAGTCAGCGGGAGCCCCCCAGGCTTTCTCGAACATTCTTCTCTTTGGAAGTGCAGAGGAGCATGCTGTTTCATGTCATGTACCAGTATCTTATGGCTACAAAAGTCCCAGTAACTTTCACAACTCACTTCATTTTTCCCCCCACAGTTGTACTTGATAAATGTTAGTATAAAGGCAAACACATTTACTTCTATTTCACCGTAAGTCCTCAGTAACAGCAAAAGTACTTAATTTTATTGGCATGACTTCAGCACCACTATTTAAAGTGTAATAATGTGTAAGTGATTTTAACTGGGACACAGATCAATGACTAAAACCAGGAACTTCTGTGGCTTGCATTCTTTTAAGAATCTTGAAACTTGAAGGGGTATTTGCACAAAATATTTGGAATACACAGAATAGTCTTAATTAGAAAAAAATGTGGTACAGTAGCCAAATTTTTTTAATTCTTGAAGTTTTCCTTTAGATTAGTTTTGGAATCACTATAGAAGTGACAGAGCTCACACTATACAAAATAACATTTGAGTTGATTTAATGACTGTCAACTTATCGGAATCTGTTTGAGGCAGTCTCAAACTGAAGAAGTTTCCTTATCAAGTGACACATACTGTTCAATAGTGTGCTCCAAAGACACTCCAGAATGACGCAGACAGGTTAACCAGCTTAAATGGAATGACAGTGTGGCATGAAGTATTTGGTCATTGTGTCGGTTATTAAATATTATGAAAATGTTTTAGTTTTGTACAGTGATTGATGGTAAAAGAATAATTGTCATTTCAACATAATGCAACTTTTCTAGTGGGCATGGATGAACTCCACTGAAATATGTAGATATGGGAACAGGTGGAACTCAGTCTAGGACAGCAAACCTCGGACGCAGCATCTGGAGTCAGGCGCACTGAGCCTGCCGCGTCCCGTGCAGCCTCTGCATCGCTGACTGAACACTGCTCCGCGGAGAGGTTGCCACTGAGTCCTTTGGGGTCTTCGCTGCTTTGTTAAAAATGGTAAAATTTTCTACACAAAAACGTGTTTTGAATACCAATCTTTCTAGACAAATTTTTAATGAAAACAGAAATGACGTTGGAAGACTACTCGTTCCACAAAACCAGTCTGCAGTTTAGCAAGGAAAGTGCAGAAGAGCCTTTCTAGTTGGTGTAACTTTTGTTTCGTTATGTAGAAAAAGATGTTGTAACGGAAGATAAAACCTGTACAAAGAAAATAAAGTCATGTCCACCATTTAATAATAAAGATCAATTCACAAAAGTAACTTGTTCAGCATTTATTTTTTTGAAAAGCAAAAATGGACTGTTTTACACATGACCAGGTTGCTGCAATAAAAATAAAATTTTAGAATGGGATGAAGAGGGTTTGGGTAAGTTATGAATTAAGTGACAGTTTTAGTTTATTTAAATTCTTCATTAGTGGTAAATAACAGGGTGGGAGAGAAAGGAGGCAAGAAAGACATGTGAGGATGGATTCATCACTCGGACCACCTAACACCTGAGAATTGGGGACCATTCACCCAGGGACTGGCTTCCTGTTTTTATCCTGTTCCCCACTTACCAAGGAACGAAATTTCATTTTCTTTGCTCTGTTAACAGACTAATAGGAAACTGATAGTTTTCTAAAGAGTAGCTACTCATGAAAGGTAATCTATATATAATGTCTCCAAAAGAAACTTTCTTTTGGTGGCAGCGTCTGGATTCAGAGCTAAGGCGTCCGGGTGGTCAGAGTGGCAGTTCCAGAATTATTGCTCCCAGTAGAGGGCAGAGCACTGGGAAGAAGGGAAAGGCAAGGGGCCTTTGGAACCTATATTTCTTTAATTTTTGCTCTTGGCAAAATGCTCTTTCAAGTGTAATTTAACCCTACCCTATCTCTTAGCAAATCTTTTTTCTTCTGGTATCAAAAGGGAATTAACACCCGCTTAATGGCTCATTTAATCCATCTTATAATTCACATACTATGTCAATATGTCAAGCGTAATGCTTGGTTTTGGCAGTCATTTGGTTAACAAGAACATTGTGTTATATTTATCTCCAAAATAATCCTAATTTTAAAGGCAGAAATAGAACTGAGTAACTGACGCACTAAATAGGTTTTTATAGATACTGTTGCTTCTGGCAGGTTTTTAAGAGGTTGGTCACTTAATTACTCAGAGTGGGATTCTTGTAGGTTTTGTGCAGTGATGGCATTTCTGCTTAAAATGTAAGTTGTGGAAGGCAAACCCAGATTTCCTGTGCAGTTGTTACATGCATAACACCCCTGCTTGTTTTAGAGGGAGTCTGCTAGGACTGAACTGAGTCTTTAAATAAACTTGAAAGGACCTTAATTCCCACTTTGGCAAACCCAAAGTACAAATTTTTAAGTGTTTACTGTAAGTACTGTTTGACAGTAGTTGCTAACTCCAAAACCTATTAGCATTGGTGGAAAACTTAGAAATGCAACCATTGAGTCGCAACAAAGATTTACTGATACTAGTTTCGATTTCTAATATTTCCTGAGTTTTATACCAGCGGTTTAATGGTAGATCTGAAACATGAAAGACCAGAATAAAGAGAGTCCAGTTTACAATTCTAGGAGATAGACATTGAACCCAAGAGGAAGATAGAAGCTTTTAGGAATTTGCGTAGCTGAAGACCTGGTCATGAAAGGTTTTCAGGTCAAAGCGGATGCTTCTGTCAACAATGATTCCAGGAGCAAAAGGCCAAATTATAATTTAGTGGAGAATATTATATTTAATTTTTTCCCCAAACCTAGATGTTATGGTCATTTTATGTTCATTTAAAGGTGTTTTTAATACCTGATCACATCCAACCTCTTTCCAGTGCCAAATTTGATGTTTTAATTTCCCCAAAGGTTACCATAATTTTATCTTTTGATTCTTGTTTTGTGGTGTGCTACATACCAAAATTTAGTAAGACAACCATCATATATCATTTAAATTCTATCTTGGATGGAACAGGATATTATAAATTAGAGCTACCCTGTTATCTCTGTATCTTTTCCTGATCTATCATCAAACATTTTTCTTAGTAACTTAGAAGTTTTCTATGTTGCATTAAACTTTTATCAAGCCAGGAATGGAGACAAATGGCCAGTACTTTACTTTGAAATGGCATGAACATTAAAAATAAAGAGCCCATTCTCTATAAAGTGTAAAATATGCATAATGCTAATATATTGAATGAAACTTATTTTGGCATAAACTTATTTTCAATTGTAAGAAAAAATATAGAGATCCCACTCATGTACCTTTCACCCAGTTTCCCCTAATGGTAACATCTTGGGAAACTAGGATTATATCACAACAGGATATTGCCATTGATACAGTTAAGATGCAGAACAATTCTATACAGAACATTCCAGCACAGAGAACCCCCGTGTTGCCCTTACATAGCCACGACCACTTTGTTTCCAACCCCCACCCTTCATTCACCCTTGGCAATGGTAATCTGTTCTCTATAATTTCATTATTTTGTTAATATTATATAACTGGATTCATATGGTATGTAACCTTTTGGGATTAGCTTTTTTCATTTGAAGTAATTCTCTGAAAATTCATCTGTCTTGTGTGTATCAAGTACATCAATAGTTTGTTTTTCAGGG